GCACTCTTAACTTCAGCCAATCAAGCATTATATTATGATATTATGATAATTAAGCACTATTTAATGATAGAACTAGTGATTAGAACTAAAACTTGGTAACAATGAATGAATGCATATTTGTCATTTTAACTGAATTTAGGACTGGTGGTGGTGTTTAAGATATTGTTGGTCATGGGTAATAGTAACTACTACTACTATTATCTGCTGGGTTCATGAATATTAATCACATTGTCAGCGTTCGCTGGAACTGATTTGCTGAAATCAAAACTGGGACGGTAATAGATGAGCGCCAGCCAACGAGAGCTGTTTGTGCATTAGCTCCGCCCACTGCCGAGAAACCGGCATATCTTTTGCTTGTTCTTAAAAGCTGAATAATTCTAAATGAACTGTTATTTTGACAGGAAAATTCAACAAAGAATATGGTTTACATGTAGTGCGTCGATTCAGCGTGGTATGCAATACTCTCGCTCTCTCTCGTTGCATGTGTGAGAAACACAGCGCTATCAGCAAAGCGACGGCGAGTCGTGCAGCTTCACACTAGTTTACGGTACGTCAAATACAGGTGCGCTGCGTGCTACATACTGCGCATCCATTGAGTACATGACATGATCCATTGAACGCATTCCAAATAGTACAGATCGCTTGACGGAGAGCGAAATTCAAGCGCTCAGTCAGCGTGTTTATCGAGTGAAAATCTGTGTTGAACGCCTCTCACACACATACTGGCGTGTGAAACCTAAGAATTTATTAGCCAATGGCTAATGTCAGACATTATTTAGTCACCCAGAGTAAGATTTAGCCGCATATGCGAGTGATTTACTCGCAATGTAGAGGGTTGTATTACCACATACTGTGCAGACTGCATGATTATCAAAATGATGTTAGTTGCAGTTCTAGAGTTCAGTTAATTTCAGAAACCCCCTCTAAGTAGGGGAAGTAGGGGAAATATGGCGACTTTTGATCGTAGACTATTAAAATGTCTCCACGATCTGCTTTTGAAGAAATATCTTAGTATCGTGCTACAGCGCACATTCTATCAGTTACAGTTCTGGTGCCTCCATCTGAAGATAGCCTACTGTACAACACCAGAGTTAACGCAGCGGTAGCGTTACACTCACTGGACACTGCACTTATTCGCAGTCACAAAAGTACATTATTTGCATTTGCTTTAAAGCCTTGCCGGTTAAACGCTTCATTCGCGTGCTGGTCTGACGTGCACTTTTTCTGAGCCCATACACCTGAAGCGTGAGCACCAAAAATGACAGAATTGACAGACAGATGACAGCATTTTTATTTTTTGGTGAACTATTCCTTTATTGTGAATAAAAACAAAACAAAAAGAGAAAAATCACTCACTACTCTTGACTGAAAAACTTTAACACAGTTGCTTAAAGAGGAATCAATCTATAGACCCTTTTTGTGCTGAAGTCACAATTACGTCACAGCGCTAGCTGGAGGCAAAACAAAGGGAAAACTGGAGGCAGCCAATTCAAACCAGCACAGATTCGGCTACATAAGGAGCTTAAAATATCATCTTGTTGTGATGTTGGGTGCCAGAATCAACGTAGTACAGACTACAATTTGAAATATTATCGCATACCTGCTGCCACTGCCAGACAAAAATTGTCGACACCTGTGGTTAAATGCGATAAAACGAGCGGACTGGACAGAAACGATGCTCGTGTTTGCAGCGCACACTTCTTATTAGAAAAGGTTAAATAAAGTATTGACTTTTATTGTTATGGATTATGGTTTGTGTGACGCGTCTA